CACGAGGAAACAAAGGGGGTCTGAATTGGAACAAAGGCATCCAAACAGGGACAAAGGGATGATGGAAGCGGAGCGGCACTGAAGGTCATAGGTTAGAACCTGTGGTACATCCGAAAGGAGATAGGGAGGGCGAAGCCCAGAGGGGCAGGAGGATGAGGTGAAGTGGGGATGATGACTAACTGGCTAAAATGGAGAGAAGCAGCAGTCCAAATAAGGATGAGGGGAAAGCGCAAAAGATACATTACAATCAGCGAAAGTGCCAGGTATGATCTGTGGAGCTCAGAGCTTACAGAGGTTACAGAGGTGGGGTTGAAAGTCCAAGGAATGTTGGCAATGGTGTTTACGTAGTATGAGGTCACCAATGCAATGGACTTAGGCCAAGGTGGAGTCAAAGTCCGAGGTCAGGACCATGATGGAGTCTTGGAGTGAAGGTATGGGCAGTGTCCGAGTACAAGGTACAGGATGGCAGTGGAAGGTCGTAACTTGGCGGAGGTTTGGCAGAAGAGGGGAGGAGGGAGGAGAGTGGCGAGAAGAGTGGCGAGAGGAGTGGAGGAGGAATGGTGTCAGGTCCGAAGGTGAGTATCAGAGCGGACGGAGATAGGGTAGGAGAGGGATGGAAGGGTGGAGGTGAGGTGAGGAATGAGGAGGAGGGTGAGAGGAGGAGGGTGATGAGAGGAGTGATGTTCGGTCCAAAGGTGAATGTCGGAGCGGACAGGGATAGGGTAGGACTCCAGAGATGGTGAAGCAGAGGGTCTGGGAGTCAGATCGGGATCGGGTTTGTATGGATATGACACTGAGGGGGTGGTGGTGGTCTGGTGGGGGGAGGAGGCGACCTAACCAGTGGGAGTTGGGGTTGAGTCGCCTGGAAGCACTGCCATTGGTTGTCAAGGAGAGTGGCTTCTCGCTTCCACTCTGCCCAGGTTCTCAGCATGGGGCGTAGGTGGTAGATGCTTTCACAGAGCCAGGCATTGATTGCTTGCTCGAAGCAGTCTACCAGCCCTACATCACCTAGCTGCGAGGTGGGGCCATGGATCTCAAACTCCTGGATGACCTTATCCATGGAGTCATTACCTTGCTGCAGAGTGGCTGTCAAAATTGTATCCGGTGCGACTACTGGACTTATCTGGAGCTCCAATTCAAATGGCTTCAAATCCAGGTCACATGGCAAGGACATAAAATCATGGACAAGCCTGGTATCGAACCCAGGACCTCTAGTGTGCATCCATACACTACTCGCCCTTGAGCCATGCCGGTATAGGCTGTTAAACTCTATACTATTGGGAACATATTATATTCTCCAACAGTGGCGAGCTTCTGTCATGTGGTGGCTTCCCAGTTGGGGTCTTGGAACATGGCATCAAGTTCTGCCATGAACTTGTCCATGGTGATCATGGGGGACCCCACCATCAGCAGCACAATCATGCATTGTGTTGCCCATGCTCCTGCAGCTCCTCCCTTCATGTATGACAGGACAAAGAGGATCTGGGACAGGGTGTCAGGAAACTCTGCGGCGCGGACATGGAAGTAGATTCCGCATTCTGCTTTGAAGCGGTCAAGGTCCTCACTCGTGCCAGCGAAAGCGGTGGGGGGGGCAACCTTGGGTGCTTTGGGCTTGGGCACAGGTGTGGCTATGGGTGCAGGTGTGAGTGGGGCTGGTGGGTTTTGGATGTGACCCTCAAGGATGGCCTGCAGTTCCTGGAACCTGGTCAGCAGGTCCTGGTACTGCTCTTCAGTTACCATGCTGGAGGAGGCAGGGGAGATTAGGTTGAAGCCTTCTTCTGCTGTCAGGGATGGCTCTGAAGAGGTGGGGGTAACAGCATAACACTTGGTGCTAATGGCCCAGACAGTGGTGGGGTGGTGAGACTGTATGGTGGGTAGCCCTCACTCAGGCTGATGTCCCTGTGTGGCTTCTTAGGCTGAAGCGGGAATGTATTGTTATTAAGATGAAGAGCTAAACTAGGTTGAAACACTTGCCTGAAGCAGGAATGAGAAGAAGGCTGCTTCTTCAGTCCTGCTTCGGCTAAGTTTATATACATGTGAAAACGGGTCACATGGAGGTGCCACATCAACCTCAGATGGAGCTGGGTTGTTGCAGGCAACTCCGCAGTCAATCCCGGGTGTGAGAGAGGAGAAACACAAGTAGGGATGCGTGGCACATCCGGCATCACAGTACCTGTACAGGGTGCTCAGCGTTGGACACACCTGTATAAGGATAGAAAGGAAGAAGAGAAAGGAGAGAAAGAAGGAAAGGAGGAAGGAGAAAGAGGGAGAGAGAGAGAGTGGAGAGGGGTGCAGCGCAGCGTGCCCTGACATGCATGCAAGCATGCATCATCCATTCCTTACAGAGCTGTTCCTGGACCAGCCAATCTCCTCCTGATTCTCCCAGTGCTCTCCATACTCCGGAGCACTCAGGAGCATAACAATATTTTGCTGATGTCATGTATGTGTTGCTGAGGGTTGGAACCTCAGCTTTGTCTATGACTAGGTTTTCAGGCAATACTTGACTTGGACTGACAAGCAATCCCTGACACTGAATGCACATTTCAATCTGTGGATATGGTTCAGATTCTTGGATTGGGTATGGAGTTTATTAAACAAAATTTACTGCAACAAATAGATTATTATAGTCACTTTTCTAACAAGAGTGTGCTGTGAAAGCACTGAATGGTGTTGGAAAACAGCGCGCTAGCGCGGCCGTGCGAGTTTTCATATGGCCACATTCCCACGGCCGAGCGAGGAACTCGCCCGGCCAGCCACATCTATTTATTCATTCTTTTGTATTCATTTCGGACTATCCCGCTCCCAAACTACATGGGAATTACCGCTCTTTGAATCACTTTTTCCCTCAGTTCTCTTTCGCATTATTTGCTTGAGACTGAGGTTAGCAACAATCATTCCTTTATTTCAACCTATACTTATATACTGTATATTACCTCTAGTTGCCCCGCTTCGCTAGGTAATATATTCTAGTTCTCTTTCGCATTATTTGCTTGAGACTGAGTTGCCCCGCTTCGCTAGCAATCTCATATTACTTTAAATGGAACATGAAGAATAAATTAGTATATTGCCTCTAAACACTCTGCATACAAATGAAGATGGCATATTTAATTTGAAATGTTAGAGGGTTCCTCCCAAACTGGATGGCCAAGCTTGCAGTGCAGCACCGAAGGCACTGCAAGCTCGGCCATCCAGTTTGAGGGGAACCCTCATAACAATTGTAGCCTGGTCCGCCTTCCTCTGGTCACATAATTCGGAATTACATATATAGAAGCGACAGCAAGGAATTACATAAGCATGACACAACGAATGCGATATTTTTTTTTCGAAGCACTTTGACCTAGCGGTGGCCTCTTGCAACCTAGAACCGACGCCATCGACGATTCCGCCAGACTTGGAAAGGCAGTTTCCAATCTGAAAATTGTAATGAAGTATGGAAAGCATTGAAGTCAACGCTTTCCAATCTGCTCAGATATGAGGCGATGGGTACCTGGAAAACAAACAGTGTTGATGAAGCGAAAAGAAACACGCAACGCCACTTACTCCAGAGAGGAAGATGGGTAAAACCTCGGGTGGTACCTTGACGATCGAGAGTCCATCCCCCTTAAAGGTACCTTCGGCGAAGATGGATCGTGCTACATCGAGTTCTTCTTTCGCAACGCAAGCAAACTCGTACACTGCATCACTGACGCCCTTCGCGCTGCCTCCATAGCGAAAGACATCTTCATGAGAAACACTGTGCTTTGCAGTGACCTCAGTAGGTATTGGCATATATCGCTTCGAAGCATGATAAGGAAGGGAACGAATGAGAGTGATGATAGTCTGTGCAAATCCCAGATGAGATGCTGCATGTGAGAAATCGGAAAGTCGGGAGGCGCCAGGTCCCTGAGGATGAACAAGCAATGGAATAAGGATATATAATATGGTGGACGACGTAGATTCGGAGTAGGCGCGAAGAGACTCCATTGTCATATGATGTGCATTATCGAAGTCTTGATCCTAATTCAGAACCGGGGCCGTTAGGTGCGAGACAATGTATACACATATGACCGATCCCTCAAATACCAAGTACACACCCTAGCGTCAATGATGCGGTTCAAGTGATATTCCGGGATATTAGCCTTTCGCACGGCGTCGTGAAGCGCAAGTGCTACAGGGTGTTGAATGGGCGAGGACTCCTTTACAAACAAATGGACAAGTCAGTAACGAGATCGATAAGCGGAACGCGCCAGATAGGCCTAGCTTACCCTATACAAGCTCTTAACCGTGTCTCTCCACCACTGCATACGTATACGTCCGAGCGCAGAGTTGGAAACCTGATCCTTCACTGTCGCCGTTTCTATCTTACCAGTGCTCCTAGATGAGACAACGCCATGGGGCTGGGAAAAATCGATGCGAAGCTTACATTGAACGCCCGAATAGCAAAGAAAGATGGTCGAATGCTTGGAGGATAAAAATATGATGTCAGAAAAGCATCTCTGTCGAGCCTCTGAACAAGATTTTTGCAGTAATCGGCTGTCTTCACAACACTAGGACGCGCAGAAGTCCACACTAAGCGCGAAGAAGTTCCAAGCGCGCTTGTTCGAGCACCTATTGATGACGTACTCAGGAACATCAATATTGTTTGGGGCAACGACCCTACACATGTGACGAGCTAGAAAGCGCGCGCCAAACGCTTGAATTGACACAGCACCGAATCGAATGCCATTGTGCATATTTGGGCAGTCGCAGAATATACCAATGTATGCACGGTCCGACTAGGGGTAACAGGAAGAAAAAGAAAAAAAGAACATTCGTCACTTTAAGCCTCGATCGGTCGATCAGCGAAAACTGGCCATCAGCCAAATACACGAAAGTTTAGGTAATACATGGGATGAGACTGTAAGAGAGCTTGAAGGGGACGCAGCCTAGCCGAGAGGAATGGAAAGGATACCAAGATAAAACGCAGACACGATTTGCAGGATGCGGACAAATAAGCAAATGAGACAATTCGCAGACCCAAAGCTCCAATAGGAAGGAAGTATAGGATTCATATGCGTATTATGCTTTCATTCACCATGCATGGGGGGGTCCAATGCACCGATTGCACGACTAGAAGAATGATTAGGAGTAGAGTGTGGAAAGAGGAAGCAGCGAGCGCGAGGAAAACACTAGAAGGGGACGTGTGTGTCATTGTAGGGATTACGAAGAAATGCTTGGCCTGAAAGACTTCCACATCCGATGGGCGCCTTGGTCGTATCCATGAGATCTTCCACTTGACAGCAGCACTCGGCGTGTAAGGTCCCAAAGCTACTAGGATTGGTTGCCCGGTTTCGCACCCGGCGGAAGTGAGCTCTTGCGCGGGGACTGAGGCCCGCCCTGCTCATTATTTGGGGTAATGGGGGACCGCATATCTTTCAATGAGGGAGGGGCTGCGATGAGAGGCGATCCGATACTAGTCGGCTGGCGATTGGTGATGGTATTGGATGCAATGTTAAGAACGGGGCTTTGATCGTCGCTTGATGCTTGCGACAGGTCATCTTCCACCAGGGCACCATCCCCCTCCTGTCCACCCCTATCTTCGTCAAGTTCATGTAGCTGCGCCCGGAGCGAAGATGTCTGATCCCGCTGAGGCGGAGCATGAAGCCTCACCGGGCCACTAATGACCCCATTCAAACCTGCGTTGCGGAGTATAGCATGTAACGACTCCTCCGGGCTCTCGTCCATGAGTTCATCACCACTGTCCTCAAAATCTTCTTCGTCATCGGGCTCGACATCGTTCCCAGCACCAAGACCCCCACCCGTGAAACTGTTTCCAAGATGGAGAGGGGAATTAAATCGGTTCCACAATCCACTGGGTCGTAACAAAGGTGTGTGTCCAGGCGAATCCTCGCCGAGACCGCTGCGTACCGCTGCAGCATGTGCATAACGGGAAGCTGAGTATAGCGGGCCGAAGGAGCGTGGGGTGTCGTAACCGACTTTCTTCTCCACCCGATCAATGATCCAATCGTACCATTGATCCAAGGTTCGCCCGTGAAGAAGCGCAACGATTAGGATCGTCATGTTATCACATCCGACACCACCAGCAACATCGGAATCGGGAGAAAGACAGCGGGTCATGCAATCTTCGCAAATCTGTTGCAACGATTTTCGCTCCGTGATCTGATGTCTCACCCAACTCATAGTATCTTGGGAAGACATACAGTCCCATATACCTAAGAAGTGCAGTGATGAGCATCACAACTGGGATTCAAAGAAGCTGAGTTATCGTACCGTCACAAGCCATCACAAAGAATTCATCATCCGAGGAAATATCATGAACTATGATGTCGGGGTCCGAAGTCACGATCTGCCTTTCGGGGGGTAGGGCGAAATTTTGTTTGAACTCAAAGTCACCAATGGCACGCGACAAGGCAAGGTTGCCTTGTGTATCATGCCGGATGAGAAATGACTCATTGCAAAAATACATCCCACTTACCGTTCACGCGATTAAACTCTACGTAACCCCCCGCAGAATTGATGCGGCTGGTTTCGGCTAGAGCAACCTTCTACTGAGTGCAGGAACTCAACAATACGGAAATTACGTACACCAGTTCTGAGGCTTGTGGTCGTAACTAAGAGGTTTGGCCTCCCCTCTAATCGACAGTACTGCACGAGAATCACCCGCGTTGGCCTGGACGAAGGTTAGTTTTGTGGGGAAAACGACAATTTCGTGAGAACCGCTTACACATATTATCTTGTCTGCCGTGACGAGGGCCGCGACCGCAGTGCACCCGGATGGATCATGAAAATAGGTCGGATCTGAATTGAGGTAGGCAACGATTATTATGATCACAAAATCGGAAGTATGGTATATTACCAGCTCGAAGGTCATCATCAGTGCCCAAAAATGTTCTCTTGAAAGCCGTAAGATAGTCTTTCGCGATGTAAGCATCATCAGACGCCAATCGTTTATGTACGTTCTTCCCCGCATATCGAGCGATCGTCCCACCTATCAAAATAAAATGGTGCATGAGTACCGCGAAAGACGCGACCGAGTCATGCTAATACCTCCGTGACCATCGTACACAGCAAAGAATGAGTTATGTTCACTCTCATCAATCTCAAGCTCTATAGCATGCGCATCCTCCATCGCTACAAAACCATCAGAACCAATGCGAAGCTTTCTGTGAAACGCACAGGCGCGAACTACGCACAGATTCGCCACCCTTGCATTTCCGACACAGCGAACGCTAGCCTATCGTTGCTGCCAAAAGTCGTTTTCTTCTCTTGAGCTGAAAATGAAAAGTCACCCAACGAATCACCAAAATGGTTATTCACGATTCGGGGTCGTAGTGGATACGGTATTAGTGTTGGCGCTTCTGCAACAGGGCAAAACAGTAAAGTTATATCGAAAAGTTGACGCACAAGGTTCGGAGAGTGTTTGACCCTGATCGGCAATTAGAAATGCATCGGAACACAGTCTGAAAAATGCATGCAACCGATGAACGCACCATATCTTGCGAAAGGAAGTTTCGGAGGAGGGTGGAACGTGAGAGAAAGTATCGGGGAAAAGAAATGGGAAATGGGTGCAAGCGCTCTGAGCGACTGTCTTATAACTGGACTAGATGTCCTCGGAAGGCACAGGCGCGGATGGGAGAGGAGAAACAAAGCGGTGCCAGTTGTGCACGCGAGTTGACGAGAAGACAGAAACGATCGCAGGAAAACTAAGTCAACTGTGTTCCCTCCGGATGCAACTTCGCATCCAGGCGCCCGACTTGCCTGATTAATGTCACCAACCTTGCTTCGAGGATCAGATCGATCGTCTAGTACCTTCTTGCCTGCGTTTTGCTTGCGTAACCCTGCAGGCTTGTGTCTTGTAGTTTTACTTAGCGTTTACATGCAGTTTGCAGCATGGGAACATTCATTGATCCCTATCTCGGCCATGCCTTTCCGGGCATTGTTGGCCCCGCTCCGTGGGCGCAGTCGAATCTTAGTTATTGATGTCTCCACATAAATATGTGCCCCTGTAGAGGTATCGGGAAGAGACCCCTAGACGGACATGCCTCAGCAGGCGCCAGATGCCGTCGACTTTTGTTTTGTGGATCGATGGACTAGTATTGACGACAAAGCATATCACAGCCGGTAGTTCTACACGATGTCCTGGACAATGACAAGCTCATTCTCGCACAAGCACACGATCGTAAACTTGTCTAGACCGTTGCTACTCAGTAACCCGGCAACTCCCAACAGTGCTCCAGCAGTGCCACCCCCTACTTTCAACACAGCCTGCTTCGCCCACTTGGCTCCTCTTTTGTCAATGCTGCGATAAATATATGCGTTTCCCCCTCCGATTGGCGATGCCGCCCCGCTCTCAAAAGCCACAACAACCTTATCACGAAGGTGAAATGTGAACCGAGTGTCTCGCTTTGAGGCAAGGACAAAAGCTAGAGCAGAGAATGTTGAATCGTGTTTCCATGCAGGAGATTTGCCTTCCACTGAGGCATCATCGCAATTGAATAATAGGCCATCAACTCCGTTCTTAATTATGATGCTCCACGCCCCCAGAGCCTTGGCATCATGGTCGGGGAGTGGCAACGGCACTGGGTGGGAAAGTAGATCGAGTGGCCACTCGTATCCACCTGGAGGCAACAGGGCAACGCCATCGTCCGCCTCCCTCCACATCATAATCAAGTTCCTACCAACGTTGTCGTCTATTTCGTCATCCACCTCTTTCCGTGAGAGACTCGGGAGACCTCTGCCTAAATCCAATCCACCGGGGTCCTCACCAGACAGGACGGCACTCGTATACTTTTCCAATGCTTCTCGTGCTGCATACAGCTCGGTCGGGTCAAGCGTTTCTGGGACGTCCGAATCTTCATCGTCCGGGGGTCGGCCATCTGTAGAAGTTGTCCCGGATGAAGCGAATACATGAGGCCAACGAGTCTTTTCGTGTCGTTTTTCCAGATACAGTGTTAATACACCGATCGTAGGTCCTCCGGCATCGGATCCAGAAGCCGCGGCATACTCTCTGTCGCCATCCTTGTCCCACGTCCAAAGGCTGGCGCTCGCATCGATCTCGCCCCACCATGGTTTCTTAGCGAAGAACGGAATTTTTAAACCCATATTTTTTGCGTCCGCAAGGCTCCCAGTCGTATCGATGATCAGTAGGGATAGATCCCTGGATCTGAGGGTGGCGCGAATGGCAGTCTTTGGAATGGTAACGGGAAGAAAGAACGCGATAGTGAGGGAATCCTCGTTCTGAGTCCATGAATATGGTGGAATAGACGGAGGAATAGGCGTCTTCTCCGCATCAAGATTCTCTTGAGCTCTTGGGATTGGTGCAATCTCTTCCGGAAGTGGATCGCGTGGCGGCAAAGATGTAGTCGCCGAGGGTATTGATGAGGCACCAATGTATGCGGATTCCGCAAGGATCAGGTAACTCCGGAGCCTTGGGGAGTATCGAACATGCGCTGGAAGGTCGTCGCCAATTGCGGACCACAAGACTGACACATTCCTTGGCCCTGTCACCTCATCCATCGCATCTTCTGCCACTGGGCGGGGCAGCTGCAAGGAGATAGCAGAAAGTCTGAACTGGATTTTATGGTGTGATCTCGCTTTTTGTTTCCTGCCCGACTCAGAAGTAGAGATATCTTGCTCTTTAACTACTTTGTGGGATATCAGGACCCGGATAGTAATTTCATTCCCTCCAACGTCACTTGGTTGCACTGTGTGCGCAACATGCAACCGCATCGGAGTGGTAGGCTCATCGATGTCATCGTGAGGCACGCTAAATGCAGCAAGGAGAACCCCAACAGGGTCTGAAGATTCGGAAGGAGCGGTTGTCTCCTTGACGATGTAGAGGTTTCCTTTACCGTCGGAGATGATCCAGGTATCTCGATCCAGCGCTTGGAGGCAAGGATACTCAGCAATCAGGGTATGCGATCCTTGGATGATTTTTGGGATTTCGAAAAAGGACGTGAAGTGCGGTTTCCCGTCCTGGCCCTACTGAGGCCATGTGTATATGGATGAAAGAAATCTGAAGAGATGACGACACTCACCAGTCGTACGAGAATCGCCATCCCGTCTTTATCAATATATCCAAGCGTAACCCCGTCCAGTCCAGCAGAGAGGTGGTTGAATGCAATCCGATCCTGCACTTCTTTAAATGATAGTTGAGGATGGAGACCTGCATGTGTAGAATTCGAACCAGTAACTTGCGATGCCCCACCTCTGGGGAGAAGAAAGGACGAAACACAGTCATCTTGGTCGAGAGAACCAAGTCTGTACCCCTCAAATTTGGGATTTATGAGCGCCTTGTCTGGTGTGAACGGGAACCCATCTTCGCTTGACATCCCGATTCCCTGCGCAAGCGCGTCTGATCACATGGTGGCTGTGAAATCAATTGTGGCCCAAATTTCGGTGCTCTCCACCCTCCACTTGGCCACGATGAGTGGGCCACCTGTGAAAGTCCGATACAATGCTAAGGCTCGTGGAGCTGAACCGGGGACATCTGGAAAACGGATGAGGCACACAGCAAAAAAGGCCGCCCCGGTCATTGACAATGTTGATCAGAGTGTTGAAATCAATTCAAGCTCCGCGCAAGGCCCTCCGTCGGAGAATGCTTTATCTGGGAAGGAAAGGCATGAAGCTGAGTGGCAGAAACGAAAGGAAAAAATGAGGACAGAGGTATTCTTCCTATGGTTTTTGGTGAACCATTCCTTTGAAATGCTGACGATTTCCCGGGACGGTAGCTTGTCAACCCTAATAAGAAGATGTCAGGCAAGAAAAAGAAACTTCTGAACAAATATATAGCGAGTGAAAAATTTTTCCTTTCCAGTTCTTTTCCTCATGCTTTTGGCCTGGATTGATAGGAGAAGAAATTGAAGAAAGAGGAACGCCTAACGCTATTCCAGAAACTCACGTATGTGTTACCGAGATACGTTTGCATGCTTACATTATTCAATTCCTCATCGCCAGTGAGACACAGGCCCATGTTTCTCCACTGCTTCTTCAATCTACAGCTACCCTTCACTCCGGACGACCACAGACTCATGCTGAGAGGCTGGCGGTGAAAGAAGATAGACAAGTCCGCCGCGCGATAGATGGGCACGGTTCCTCGCGCAAAAAACGCCGGAAACTTGCCTATTCTGGGATATATGAAGAACCAACCGATGAGGAAGGGGAAGAACTACCATTGGAGCCAACATCAAGGGCTGACGTTCGACAAGCAGCATCGCCGGTCCCAACAGCTTCAGCGCCGGGACCTCCACAGAGTCAGCGCTGTGCATCCCCATCGCACCCGTCATCAGATGCAGGAGCTGGAGCAGCCAAACTGAAACCACGGCATGCTTCCGGGCCCAAGGTGGCCTTAGGAGCCGGCTTGAAGCGTAACGTGGACGGGACGGTCGTTGCCCCACGAGTTGTACCAAAAAAATCGAAAGAGAACTCGAAGGTTCGGCTGGCGGTATGTTTCTTCACCGAGCTGTTCGACTTCCTCCGTTTATTGATTATTATTAGGCGCTAAGGGGAAAGAAATTGCCATCCCCTCCCCCCGACGTTGACACGCCAGGCTCCAGCGCTTCCTCCGAGATTGGGAGCCATGACAAGAGTCATGACTCGACGGAGGAGGGCTCGGGGCACATGTCCTCGGATGAGGATAGCAGTGATGTTGACTCCTCCGAAGTAAGCTCCAAGGATAGCGGAAGCGAGGATGAGGGCGAGTCCCAACCAGCTCCCAGGCCAAATTTTAAAGACTGGGCCAGACGCCAGATTGAGACTGTCAAATCGGCAGATGCACCTTCCAACGAGGCTGTCCTACTCCCTGATGGTTCGGTGCAGCTTGCTGAAAACCTGTTCGAACGACAAGCAGTCCCGCAACGGAGATCAGCGGACGGGGCTGATCAAGTTCCCAAGGGACCTCTAGGCGAGGATCTGCAGCTACCGCAATCATCATTTGCCCAGGCAATGACCACTCTGCCGCCAACCAATGCCGACGCTTCGGGTCAGGCTGACACCAAGCCCGTAATAAAATATGTTACCGTTGAACGCCCTGCGAGCATACAAGCGCAACGGCTCCTGTTGCCAGTCGTCGCGGAGGAGCAGCCAATCATGGAAGCAGTGAGACTTAACCCAGTTGTGGTGATATGTGGAGAGACCGGTAGTGGGAAAACCACACAAGTCCCTCAATTTTTGTACGAGGCCGGTTTTGGTGTTCCCGGTTCAGGTACGCTTCTTTGAACTGTTATCTTCGAGCCGACTCATTAGGATCTGATACGATTCTTAGAAAACCCTGGAATGATAGGGGTGACGCAGCCGCGGCGTGTTGCCGCGGTGTCCATGGCTGCCCGTGTCGCGCAAGAATTAAATCTGCCCCCCTCGCGCGTCTCCTATCAGATTCGCTATGATGCCACTGTTTCCCTCGCTACGTCCATCAAATTCATGACGGATGGTGTCCTTCTCCGAGAGTTGGCAACGGACCTCTTACTCACCAAGTATTCGGTTATCATCATCGACGAAGCCCATGAGAGAAGTGTGAACACTGACATTCTAGTCGGGGTCTTAAGTCGCGTGATTAAGCTGAGGGAAGAGTTGTGGGCCAAAAAGGAGAAGGGGGCGAAGGTAAGTTTGGAACCAACATGAAGCCATTTTCATTCTGACGTCGAGGCGCATTGGGTTTGTCTCCACCTTCAAAAGCCCCTTCGTCTCATCATTATGTCTGCTACGCTTCGAGTAACAGATTTCACTGAGAACACGACACTCTTCGCTAAACCCCCTCCCGTTATCAATATTGCCGCTCGGCAACATCCTGTAACTGTACATTTCAACCGTCGTACAAACGGGGACTATGTGGCAGAAGCCGTACGCAAAGCATCGAAGATTCATGCGCGGCTTCCCCCAGGAGGCATCTTGATCTTTCTCACTGGACAGAACGAAATTAATGGAGTTTGCGCCAAGTTGGAGAAGTTATATGGAAAGAAGGCGCTAGGTGCTAAACGCAAGAACAAGGCTCAGAGGGAGCGGGACAGAGTCACTTCTGCCGCAGGGGGGGCTGATATTGATATGAGTCACGGTCAGCCCGATCAGACTAAGATAGGTGCGTGAACCTTCTCTGCAGGTCGCCTCGCATTGATTTCATTTTGCAGAGATCGAACTAGAGGACATTGAGGAAGCGGGAAATAATGTTGACCAAGTGGGACTTGTTGACGAGGGTGAGGGTGAAGAAGACCCCGATGCCCTTGACTCGCAAGATGAATTGGATATTGATGAGCCTTCAGACGGTGAGTATGAGCGCAAGATACCAATAGCTATTTGCTACAACTGTTTTTCTAGAACCCATGCATATCGTCCCGTTGTACTCTATATTGTCCAGCGAGAAGCAGATGAAGGTGTTTGAACCTCCACCTGAGGGCTCACGCCTCGTAGTGGTCGCCACCAATGTCGCCGAGACATCTCTCACAATTCCGAATATTCGATACGTCGTGGATTGTGGACGTGCCAAACAGGTGAAGGGAGGGTCTTAAGGACGAAAACATCGCGCTGACTCCAGTTGATCCCAGCGTCGGCATGATATTCACAGCGGTGTCGAAAGCTTTCAAGTTAGCTTCATATCAAAGGCTTCTGCTGCTCAACGGGCTGGACGTGCTGGTCGTGTAGGGCCAGGTCATTGTTACCGCCTATATTCTTCAGCTCTCTACGAGAATCACTTCGAGCAATTTGCTCAGCCGGAGATTCTTAACGTTCCAATTGAAGGCCTGGTGCTTCAAATGAAGAGCATGCATATTGATGCAGTTGCCAATTTCCCCTTCCCAACACCCCCTAACCGCCTACATCTTCAGAAAGCTGAGACTATCCTCACGCATCTCGGCGCACTGGACTCCGGCGCGAAAGCGTTACCATGGTCCCCATATTCGGCCATTGGTGGGCAAATTACTGATCTAGGCAGGACTATGTCTCTCTTTCCGGTTTCGCCTCGTTTCTCGAAAATTCTCGCTTTGGGGAGGCAACATGGGACTTTGCCGTACGCTATTGCCCTTGTGGCTATTATGTCAATTGGGAGTCCGTTCCTGCATGAGGATGCACTGGACATGGACGACGGCGATGACGACAATGAAGTTGATGGAAATGATGCTGAAACTCACAACCTTAGCGAGATTCGTAGTGAAGACCTGCTAGCGAAGGAAAAGAGAAGGATAAAAAGAAAACGATTCTTTCAGGCGCAGCAGGTATGCAATACCTTTTACTCTCCGTGAAACGCACCCACCGCTCTGGACAGGCGCATTCGCAGCTGGGGGTTGGTACCAGCGATTTCTTCAGCAGCTTATCTGTCGTAGGCGCATACGAATATGCGGGCGGTGGGACAGCTTTTTGTGCAGAGCATTTTGTAAGGCTTAAGGTAGGACGATCTCCAAATTTAGTTGAAATGTCAAACTCATGCGAATCAGGCTATGGAAGAGATCCATAAACTCAGGGCTCAACTAAGTAGCATTGTAGAGTCAAGCTTCCCCAAGATAAACGCCGATTTCTCCCCCACTCTACCCCACCATCTGTCTCTCAGGTAGATGCATCCTCTTTGTTGCACGACTCTGGGCTCATATTAATCTTAATCACGACCCACATAGCTTAAGATTCTAAGGCAGCTGATTGTCGCGGGACTTATCGACCATGTGGCAGTGCGAAAGGATCTGGCAATGAAAGATTCAGGGGTTAAGTATGCCAATGCGAGGAACGTTCCTTACATGACTCTAGACGTGGATGAGGATATCTTTATTCATCCCTCTTCCATCCTTTTCGGTGGGCCCCCACCTGAATACGTGGTCTACCAAGATATTGTTCGGACAAAACGTGTGTGGATGAAATGTGGGTTGCATACATTCCTCCAGAACACTGGTTTAACACCCTTCCAGCCCTGACGGTCGTAAATCCCGCATGGCTAGCAACGCTGGGACGCTCTTTGTGCACCTTCTCAAAACCCAAGGAGGTTCCTGCAACTTTGAAAGCAGGGACGGGGACGTTGTGATCCCCAGTTATGGCGGCAAATTCAAACTCCCACCCATGAAAATATAAAACTTGCGATACAAGATGTCATTATGAGCGGACTGCATGAACAACATTATAGGGTTGGACTTGGGGAGTGTTGGGTACTGTTCAAGGAACGTGGTGGTGTGATGCATGACCAGCTGTGGGTCATAAAGGAATAGTATTTATTTACTGTTTATTTCCTTTGGTTCTACCAGGGGAGAAGGTAAATAGTGTTACTGTTTACGACAAGATCTCGTTCACCTTTTTTGGAATGAACAAGCTAGGACCAGGTTTCTGTCGCTTCCCGTTTGATTGCCCCATTGATTGGGGGTTGGGTGCACTCAGGGTCAGGTTTCGAGATTCCTGCGCGTCGTCGGGTGCCTGGCGCTTGGAGGGAATACTTGACACCGTTGAACTTTCGCTCTGAGAAGCTGGGACGTTTTGTGGCGAAGCCTCAGATGCAGCATTGGGCTGGCTCATGTCACTAGGTCGCCTCAATGGCAATGTCTGTATTGTAGCTATCTTCTTGGGACTGATTCTCGCTTTGGCCACTTTCGGCTGAGGCCTCCATGAGGCCTGCAAATTCCTCGTTACACCGCCAATCTGTGCCGACTGTAGCATTTCATCAACATGGTGGTCTAAACTCTTTACAAATCATGGCTTACGTTCGTAAAGCAGCTTCGTTCTCGAGCATCTTGGACTATCTTGGCCCACATATCATTCGAACGCTCTAACGTTGCGGCATGTCCAAGGATGAACAATGAACATCTAGCACGGGTCATGGCGACATTCATCCGCCGAATATCAACCAAGTGTCCAATCCTCTGAACATTGGGTCCGGCTCGAACGCAAGACACGATGATGATGTCTTTCTCTTGCCCCTGGAAGCCATCGACTGTGCCAAAATCAATGCTGCTCAGAATGCTCCGGGAGAACTTGGCTGAAAATTGCCGTTGGAGTTCGTTCTTCTGAGCATCATACATCGCAATAATACCAACGCGTTGATCAAGGTCTACCCTCGATGAGAACACGTTGCGGAGGCGTTCGTAGAGGCTGACAGCAAACTTGACTTCAGTCCTGTTAAGCAGAGAATGGCCCTTAGCCATTTCTTCTCTTCCATCTGCCACGTCGAAAAACTGGTATGGTCTAAATAATGAATCGGAATGCCATGGCGTCAAACGCTTTGCGGCCATGTCAGGTCCATCTTTCAGTCTCCCTTCATAAAATAGATTACGGGGCAACACGCTGATTTCAGGATGCATTCTGTATTGAATGCTACGCCGATGTGCGACGTCAGCATCAACCCAACCGACAATTCGAGCACGTACCTAAGGAGGTAAGCAGGCTTATGTCTGTTAAGACGGACAAACAGGCTCTGATTGTACATGTGCCTTGCTGCTAGAGGCGAAAGGACTGTGGGCGGTAACTGCATCGGATCTACAAATGAAATTCAACATCAGGCTGAGAAAAGAGGAGCATCAACCAACCTCCAACGAGTATACATTGAGTGCACCGGTACTTGAGAGGGATCAATGAGCTTAACTCTATTGACTGTGCCGCTTCATCAATAATGACGGTCTCGAATAAATACGGGGCCAAGGAGGCATGGCCACTACTTGAAAGCGTGGAACAAATCACATCAGCCTCGTGTAAAATCTGTGCCTCGAATTTGCGAATGTTACTATCCGAGCACGGCTAATGTTCGTATTGGCGTCCTTCGCAGCATCTAAATTCCGCCCCAATTTCGTTCGTTCACTCTTGAGCTCGTGTAGTTCACGCTGCAGATCAGAAGTTCTGGATGGATTGTCCTTGAGAGATTCCAATTCCTCCAATTTTACTCGGATTTTGTTACCAATCTCTTTCAAACTTCCCCGTAGAGCGGTGAGATCCGTTGTCGTCGGCTCTGCCCCCATTTTCGCGGCCACCAGGACATTTAAGGAAATGTCCTTGATCGAAGGGTTCATTTTCTCCTCTGCGCCAATTCTAACGATCTTGGGGATGTAGAGACTCCCATCAGATTTGCGGAAACCTTGTTTCAAGCGTTGCGCAACTTCATCGATAGCGGCGTTGCTCGGTGCACAAATCAGTAGCTTCTTGGGCGGCTCCTTATCCTCGGAGCGAGACTCGCGACCTACAAAAATTGCGGTGGCAGGCCTCCGTCGGTTCAACAAGAACGTATATGCCAAAGCCACAATGGTGGACGTCTTCCCCGTCCCAGGAGGCCTAGAACTTGACATCAGCTGAGTAAAGCAGCAGTCGCACGCGACAAACCCTTGAATAAGAGAAAAGCCACGGATCTGCCAATGACCCTACAATTGCGTTCGCCTGAGGCTCATTGACTTGATGCCTCGACATGCATTCCTTAACGCGTTCGGGCGAAGCCTTAGGAAGGACTCCTCTCTTTGGATGAACTATATCTTCAAAGAGGTCATAATATTGTAACCCTCGGAGCGCTGCGTATTCCCGGTACACGGTACTTAAGCTTGTTTGCACATTTAAGAAAAGGCGATCCGTGTGCTAAGCGGCACTCACCTCATCAAACGAGTCAATTTCCATCTGGACCGAATCATAAGCAAAGAGTCAACCGACGCAAGAGCGTTTGTGAAAGGGCTGCACCGCAAGCCTATACTCAAGCTTTCACGTGCTAACTTTGATTTCTTCACTTTGCATAAAATACTCTTTGGTCCATCCGCTTCCCGCAGAAGAACAATATCGTTCTCGGTGACATACCATCCAGGGGAAATGGCTTCTGAGATAGAGACTTCGAGGTCAAGCCATTTGTCTGTGCGACCTCGTGCGGTGACTTCAGCCTCGAAGGTTGTCGGGATTTCTTCCTTCGTCTTGATGAGTTGACTCCACGTTTCGAGAAGGATAAGCGGTTCGAAGACCTTTGAATATACCTCCATAGCATTTCCAGGAGGGAAAGAATCGGGAATCTTGGAAAATTGTGGTTGGACATCAGGAGGCTCGGAGCCTGCAGAGTCATAGTCCCATTCGAGCCTGCATAATCGCAATCAACGTCTCAGGTATGGATAACTGAGATTATGCGTACACATGGCGGTAGAAAGCACTCAAGTCGGGCTTTAGCCTCAACTCAGTTCTACGAGCCTCCTCCTTCCTTAACGCCTCTTGGTCAACTGTTTGCCGAATCGATTGATTGACCACTTTTATCTGACGGCGCTCAACCTTCGCTATTTTAGGGGAGGGAATCTTTGTGCGCAATTCGTCTGCCCTGACAAAGCAACCAAATTAACTGTGACGTCGCACTGCGATGCAGATTCAGCCCACCGTTCTCATCTTCACTCGATGTGGCCTCCGAAGACGAGGAAACAACTTCCGGTGCAGGTGCTCTCAACTTCGATTCGATCTTCGATGGAACGGACGGAGTGATGGAGGGACCCGCCAGGATGCCATTGCTTGGATACTCTCCTTGCCAGCTTGCTGCGCCTTCCTGTAATTCTGAATAGCAATTTCGGAAGGTCGTTCAACTTCAATCGGTTTGTAGGACGGTCTCCTTTTGAGATTTTGGAAGTTTTCGGCGCAGCAAGTTTTGTGACGAAGTTGGACATAACACCTTGGCCCCTAGAGTCGAAGGGGGATGACGACAGCAGACTGAGTCGTAGATTCACAGGGGTGAGTGTTTGAGGGCACACATAACAGTACTGGCCACGTACCATTCGCAACCTGGATCGAGAATCGTCCCGAGACGTCGATTCGGTACGCAGACTTTCTGGAACGACTCTTTGAGACTCCTTGCGTTCCGCGGGACCGCTTGAAGTCCCCAAGTATTCGATATCATCATCATCATTACTCGTTGACGCAGGCGTCTTTGGAGTAGATCTTAGCTTCGGAGGCTGAATAATGGTTACATCCTGGTCTAAGAACGGTTCCATGACAGCCATAAGCTCGGCCAATTTGCTGTCATCCAGCTGCGTCTTAGTACCCTTGGCCCGCATCGCGTATCGCTCCAATAATGTGACAGCAGAACGGGGAGGATTTGTCTTTGACAACGCAAAGAAGGCGAACAGAGACTTCAATAGTTGGTGGGACTGGTGCAGAGTCTCTTCATCGGTTAATTTCAACCACTCAATGAGTTCTAACAGGATCACGCAAAGATCCGCTATGAGGTTGGGGGTCTCTGCATCTGATGAGGACGCCAGCCGGGCACCTGCACGATTTGTGGCGGTTTGCAAGACCTCGACGACGGCAATCATATCTCGTCCAAAGATCAGTGCATCACGCATCCAGACCACCATCTCTTCATAGGGATAAAAAATCGACCACGACTTCACTAAACGGAAAATAATCGAAAGACCATCCGTCATGCGTCTCCAAAGCTTGGGAACATATGCAAAGAGCGGTAGATTTTCCGAGTCCCCGTAATCATCATCGAGCAAGAGTCCCGACGCTGCATCTCCAAGACACGATAAAATGTCTGTCATACTGCGGACAACATACTTTGATGTTCCACAAGCCTCAGGCATCGCGGAAGCATAGTGGTTGAATGTTGTAAGATAAGATATGAGTCCTTTGAATGAAGCCGTAGGATGGTTTTCCAGGAAAGCCTTATAGCATGCAGAACGTTCCACCGCATCATAAGCGTTCAGGCCCGAGCGCCTTCGCGGCCCCATTCAAAGAGTCTATAGGGCACAGCATAAGCTGAATGGCATCCTCCGTGACTCCTTCTTTCGACAGGAATTTCACCAACGAGTCGACTCCGGCTAACTCGGCAAAGGACTCGAGGGAGGGGCCAAACGAGTCTCGAATAGTCCCCAGTGCACCCCAAACGTTATGGGTACATCGCACAAAGCGACTTCGAAGCGCCTGGTCTGTTTTGAGAAAGCTGGACGAGAACGCTTCATCCGGGCCTATCCGAAGACGATCAACGTGCGCGACGCGAGTCACTGCTGAAAGCACCAGAGCAATGCCGTCCGCATGATTCGGGTGAAGTCGACCATACACGCTTTCCCAAAGTTGTGTGTGAATCATTACACCCTGAGGTAGAGGTGAACATGCTTCAACCGACGACACTGAGGGAGCAGCCGAGCGTGATATGAAGATCCTGGAAAGATCCCTCCGCGCACGACAAAGCTCGCTTAGACATTGTAAGGCAGCCTCTGCATCCCTCATCAACAAACGTTTGAGGACTGTCTGAGCTGTCTGCCGAGGATTGTTCCATGCGGGTGACTGGTACTGTGAACCTAAGGCTACTGCCGTTATCACAGCCGAATGAGTTTCGCATAGTCGCAACATTGTGAGCTGCTGTACTGCATTCGATTCTTCTGTTGCCCGTCGTGAAGTGTCAATAGAACCTGGAGGGGAACGATTAGTTGGATCTCGATAGATTGACATGATGATACTGACCTGAAACAATGTCTCGAACGCATACACATGGACACGGTCGCTGTATATAGCATGCTGAAGTTCCTCCCCAAGGTAGATAAATATTTTTGCGAATGAGCTCGAAAAGGCCTTCGATGACCACAGAGATTGGAGGTATGGGAGAATCCAGTCTAGGCCCAATTGTGTTCAGCATTGCGCCCATCCTGTAGCGCATGAGGCATCGCTTGATTTGTCCTTAATGGAGTCTAACACAACCCCCGGCAACTCTGGCGCGTCCTCAAACCACAGAGATTCGCGTAAGATTGCAATAACTTGCAAAAAACACCTCAATACACCCTGGAAATCTATACTCTGGTTTGAATATAATCGCGACATATAAAGATTCAGCCAGTACTTACTAGTTCTATCGGAAAGATGGCTCAGCAGGAGACGCGGAAATTGTTTACGTCGTGAATTAAAAAAGCTCCAAAATTGCTGGCAGGCAAAACAGTTGGAACGCGTTTGGTAGAAGATCCCACAGTGACGCGCCTCTTGTAGACGTTTCAAGCAAAGAAGTAGGTTTGGGCTCCCCGGTCGGACCTGCGTTTCCGGATAAGGTAACCAGCACCTCACCAAATATTATCGATACGGGACCGTCGAACTTCGTGAAATATGGAAAATGGGATCTACTGGTTTCAAACCATTCACGTATATGAGGTCGACTGTCAAGAGCCAGCAGAGGAAAGGCACAAGGAGGTTGAGTTGGCTGTAGGCCCGATGCGTTAGAAAATCGACCTAGTCGTTAAGAAATCCATAAGTGGCGCGTCTTGAAGAAGATACGGGCTACATAGAATGCGATATTGCGATTGGAAATGGCATGGGGGTTTTGAGTTCTGTCGAGTCCTTTGAATGAATACGTTGTATGCAGATCTCCATGACATCGTGTAATTCCCATTTGTCTATAGCTTCGAAGAACTTGTCTAACGTTGCGGGCGCATAATCGGAGAGATATCTGATAATAATGTTAATGACACAAGCCACCGACCATTCGGTATTCATGCTCACGAAGTCCGGCACAAGGGTTTTGCACATTGTATGCATAGGAGCAGTCGCAGCACGAACTAATCACCTGCAAAACACATACTCTTCCATATCGGTACATGCGGACCATTGTATGCGTGAAGGCGAATGAGGAAGATGGCAGACTCTTTCACAACTGGAGCAGCTTGATCACAGTACCAATGAAACAGATCGGAGCTGTGGCATCTTCATTATGTCGAGTCAGCACTTGTAGCTCTCGCGCATCAGCTCATCTAGCTCAAGCTTAGGCAAGATCCAGGGTCGAGAGCAGAGGTTCGCAAGTGCGTAAGCAATTGAGCACTGTCATAATGTGAAGCCGTCGGCATGTGCCTTTTCCTCTGTCACCCGATGACACGAGAAACTGGGTAGCCAATCTCGCGTCCGTCAAGGTTGCTGTTGTTGAATTTGGCACGGGAATTTTGGCGTCGTCACAGTGATTTACAATTGAACTGACACGTGGTCATTTTTTAAATTCCGCAAGCAACGCAGAGCTAGACATTGGTTTGCTGTAAAATGTTTGCACTTTTATGACCCCGAGACCTTTTTAAGCGATAATTGGAATTTGCATTTTTTGTGAGTTTAGGTTTTTCACCTTCGTGTGCATTTTTCTCAACAACGGCCAGGCAGAATCATAACCCATATTTCAGGACTTTTTTCCTCTAGTCGATAGGCTGTACATTTAGTTTCAAGGCTCCTTGCTGCCCAAACGCCATCCCATTCCACCCAACCATTGTTGAGAAAATCGTGCACACACAGAATTCCGTGAATTCCATTGCCGCAGGAAACATGTAAATGACAAAAAAACCAAAAATGCGACTTATCGATAACTAAAAAAAAAAAAACAAAGTCCCGAGTGAAAGGCAAAACTCCTTGCTTTCGGCACATTCCACTGAGCCACTGTCAAGTAAACCATCTGCAATAGATATTATTGCCGTGGGGAGCATGTAAACGATAACAAACTAAATACACAGACTAATCGACTAAAGAAAAAAAGGTTGGCCGTTGTTGAGAAAAATGCACACAAAGGTGACAAACCTAAACTCACAAAAAATGTGAATTACAGGTATCGCTCAACAAGGCTCGGGTCATCAAAGTGCAAGCATTTACATGCAAACCTAGCCTTGTTTTCAGGCGCGGAATTAAGAAAATTCCCACGTGACAATTCAATTGCAAACCGCTGGAAGTCCGTATCGGTCCGAGATTATGTCCGTATGCACACACTGCGCGGTCTGCTTATCTGTTCGATCGTTCGTCCAAC